CCGGCCGGCCCGGGGGGGTGCCGTGAGGGGCGGGAGGTGCTGTCGCTGCTGTCCCTGCCCACGCTTAGGCCGGCGGCGGGGGCAGAGCTGGGGGGTGGAGAGGCCAGGCCTCTGTAGGCCTCCGCGGCGGGGTTCCGGGGCCTGGGCCTGCGGCCGAGGAGCGGCAGCCCCGGGAGGAAGGGAGGCTGCCCCGAGGGGCTGCGGAGGCGGCCGGCGCCTCGCTGAGGCCTTAGGCCGCTGCAGGAGGGGGTTGCTGGGTCCGGAGGAGGTGCCGGGATGGGCCTAGAGAGCGGCTGGTTCAGTTCGCCGCCCTTCGAGGTAGGAGGAGACGGCGCCGTGTTTGCTCCAGCTCCTTTTTCGGCCTTTACCGGTGAAGCCGGTAGAAAACGCGCAGCTGGGAAAGTTCTAAACCGTTTCCTCACGTTTTGAGCGGGATATCATATTGGTGAGACCAGGATGTTGAACTGCTTTAGTTCAGATGAATCTTCGTTGTTGTAAATTGCGTTCCATCCATCGTCACGTGTTTTGTGGTGGGTTTTTTGGTCTTTTTTTAAAGTGTAGTTGTGTGGCCGTTCAGGATGTGCTTTAATTTTGTTAATTATATTAATTGTGTCGATATGGAATCAGCAGCTGCTCGTTCAGGTGTAGCTCGGCGCTTCAGGGTGATGCTGTGATGCATGAGCTTCTGTGTGGACGTGGCTGGAGGCACTTAAAACTACTGCTGTTTCGTTTTTTGACTAATTTAGGTGTAAAAAATGGTTCAGCGCCTGACCTACCGCCGTAGGTTGTCCTACAACACAGCTTCCAACAAGACCAGACTGTAAGTAAGATGTAGTTTCTAAAGAAACCCAATTTTTAAGAAAAATAAGTTTGAATTTTGATTGTTACATTAGCAGAGTATTTTTTTTGCCGTATTTAGGTCCCGGACACCTGGGAACAGGATTGTTTACCTCTACACCAAGAAAGTAGGGAAGGCACCGAAGTCAGCATGTGGCATTTGCCCAGGAAGACTTCGTGGTGTAAGTATTAGCCTTCCTGGAATAACTACCTTTTTTACAGCAATGGCTTTTTTTTCCCAGTAAAAATACACCTGTTTCTTGATGAATTCTTGTTGGAACAGCTTTCTTCTTTAAAATGTCATTATCTGAATGTTGTAAAGTTTAACTGTTAAAACAAGCTTTGAAGGCTTAAAGAATAAGTGCTTTTTTAATGCTTGTGATTCTCATTGCTTTTAAATATGAATTTTCTTGTTCTGTGAGTTGTAACTGGCTGAAATTTTTAGACCAAGGGTATTATGTAGCGGGTTTAAAAGTCTAAATTGGACCTATTAGGTACGCTTTAAAAAAAAAAACCACACACATAAACTAAGTTTGACTTTCAGTTCTAGAAAAGAGGAATTAATGGTTTTGACATGGTATTTTTCTGCAAAGTATATTCTTGACGCAGTGCTGTTGTGATGGAAATGCTTGAGTTATGTCTGTGAGCAGCTTCTATACTTGGAAAACAATCTATTTTTGTAATATTTTTTTAAATGATGAATCTATTGGTGACCCCCTGTGGTAGAATGAAAAGATGCTCAAGATGGCATGTGCAACAAACTGTGACTTTTTTGCATTTTGAATAATCAACTTCAGGTGGTGCTGCTTTTTTAAACTATCGAAGTGATGGAATTTTAATACGGCTGTTATCCAAAATCACTGTCTCATGAGATGCTTCTCATTTTTGCTCTCTGTAGGTTCGTGCTGTGCGTCCTAAAGTTCTTATGAGGCTGTCAAAAACGAAGAAGCATGTTAGCAGAGCCTACGGTGGTTCCATGTGTGCTAAGTGTGTCCGCGACAGGTGAGCTTAGAGAGACCTGACTTTATTCTTGAGGTTGCTTCGTGTGAGATTTTTGCCTCTCACTGTTTTCATATCAGGGGCCTAAACTTTTTAAGACTCTTGTCCGACATCGGTGTTTGTAAAATTGTGCCGGGTGAGTGTGGGGCACCTGTGTGCGATTTTTTGCCCCTTGGATCTGAGCTTGTTACTGCGTGAGGTGCTCCTTTGTCGAGAGCTTGTGTTCTTTGTCATTTCTTACTGCACTGGTGCTTTGGTGCTGAACAGTCTGCTCATTTGGGATTTTTATTCCTTATTCAGCTCCCATAGTAAAGATTTTTCTTCATCTGTCTTATGCAAAGATAATAGGGAAAGATCAATTGAGCTTTTGGCGTCTTTGTGGTGTTTTGGGATTTGAAGGTATTACTTGGTTGCACATTAAGCATCTTTATGCGGTTAAACTTTAAGATGGCCTTTGCTGGGCTTTACTGAATTCAGTTTTATTGGATAAGAATTAGTCGTGGTGAACCCCAGCCAGCAACCAGGACCATGCAGCTCCCCCACTTGCTACTCTCCCCTCCCAATGGGATAGGGGAGGAGGTTCAGAAAAAAAGGGATGCTTGTAGGTTGAGATAAAGACAGTTTACAGAAGACTAATGAAAAAGAAGATAATAATGGTAATGATAAAAGAATATACAAAGTAAGTGATGCAATAGAATTGCTCACCATTTGATGATCCATTGCCCAGTCCATCCTGAGCAGCGATTGCGAAAAAAAGGAAAGCTTGTAGGTTGAGATAAAGACAGTTTAACAGAAGACTAATGAAAGAGAAGATAATAATGATAATGATAAAAGAATATACAAAGTAAGTGATGCTATACAATTGCTCAGCATTCAATGATCCATTGCCCAGTCCATCCTGAGCAGCGATTGCAGATTCCTCTCCCCAGCCAACCCCCATTTATATGCTGAGTATGATGTCTCTGGTACACAATATTCCTTTGGGCAGCTCGTCCTGTCTGTGCTCCCTCTCGGCTTCTACGGGAAGATGAAAGAGTCCTTGACTTAATATAAGCACTACTTAGCAACAGCTAAAACAATATGTATTATCAACATTATTCTCATACTAAATCTAAGCCACAGCATCTACTCGGATGAAAATTATCCCAGCTGGAACCAGCACACAATTGTACATCTTATTCTTCCTTGGCAAGTTTGAGGAAAAAAGTGTATTATAAAGGATCTCATCTCTGTTAATGGTAATCAAAGCAGATCTCCAGAGTCAGTAGTCTAATTCCAGTTTTTTCATCTGTTTCATCGCCAGCATTTTTTTTTTGGTTGTGTGAGTTCAGTGGCATTAGGTGCTGCTGAAGACAGGTTGTTACAGCTGCAGATCCATAGCATAACTTCTTTGTGTTAAAAGCCACTTTTTGTGTTGTTCTCCCAAACACTTCATGAGCTTGGTGGGTTGTTTTTAATACGTGAGTATGCCTTATTCTGCCTAAACCAAAAAACACACTCGCTTCCTTCCCTGTAATTGACAGGTTTTTTCCTGCATCTGTTTTTAGGTGTATTTGGTGTAGGCTTTGTGTACTGCAATAGTAGCCCCATGTGCCAGATGCACATGGGATGTCATATTAATGCTTCAAGGTGGAAGAGTGTGTGGTATATTTGTGCTTTTAACTCAAAATCATCAAATAGGCTATTGGTGTGAGTACTGTCCCTTAGGTCCATCTGCATGGTGGCCTTTCATGTCTTCCACATGTGCCAGATAAATATAGAATGTCATATTAATGTTTCAAGGTGGAAGAGTGTGTGGTATATTTGTGCTTTTAACTCGAAATCATCGAATAGACTGTTGGTGTGAGTACTGTCCCTTAGGTCCATCTACACGGTGGCCCTCCATGTCTTCCAGAAATAATCATATTTAGGCGTGATGTGGCCTGCCAGAGTTTTCTCTGTTTATGCACAAAGAAGCTTTTATCCTGAGAAGGGAGCTGTTCTTGCTTTGCAAACTGGACTTGCATAAAGTTTTCTGTGGCTCCAAGGAAGAGATCTGACCACGACTGGTCATGCCAAGTCTGGCTTAAAGAACAGCTTAACTAATTCGCCAGTGAGGAGTTTTGCTTTTTTCCTTTGAAGTTAGTGAAGGTGGTACTTTTTCCAGCGTTCAGCCATCAGGTATTACCATGCCTGCCTACAAGCCACTCACCCTAAATTTGGGGCCTTCTTCCCCAAACTTCTACACTCATGCGGTGCCACTGTCCCTCTCTTTTGATGTTGGTAAGAACAGCAATGGTTTCTCTTCTTAGGGGCTTGTGGAACTAACACCACGTGTGCAATGAATGTTAGAGATGGCAAAACTAATCGTAACTGTCATATTTTTGTGTTTTCAGTTAAGTAGATGCGTGTTGTAAAGTTCTTGTTTTCTCTTTCCAGGATCAAACGAGCTTTTCTTATTGAGGAGCAGAAGATCGTTGTGAAAGTGCTGAAGGCACAAGCACAGAGCCAGAAGTCAAAGTGAATCTATTTGTAGTTTCAGCCCAATAAATGAAAGCTCCACTTTTCTTGTGTCCTGTCATTCCACGTGTTGGTCAAAGCTGGTAGGAGCTGCTCCTCACAGCTTCTGTGATGCAGAACTGGGGTTTGGTGCAACAAGATCTGTAAGTTGGGGTGCTGTGTTCTGTGCTGCTGGCAAACAGGGAGATGAAGTGGGTGGAAGGAGGCCTGGTTAAACAGAGCTGTCTCACAGCCCTGCAGAGGGGTTGGAGTAACTTTGAGCAGTGCAGTTTTTTTTCTTCGTGCAACAGCTCTGTGTGATGTCATCAGAGGACTTTGCTCAGAAGAAAGTTAGGAATCTGAAAAAACAAACGAAGGGAGATAGTGACTTAGAACTGGAAGAGAGATTATCAGGTGAAGAAGAGGTGAGCTAGTATGGCCCTAAGGTAGATGTGTTGTTGGTTTTGGGTTTTGTTTGGTTGGTTTTTTTTAATAGTATGTACTGTGGTTATTGTTACTCAAATCTGAGTGTGGAGGGGAGTTGTCTGACCTCCAGCTGTTGCATTCTGTTTGATGTCAGGTGTTTCCTGGATCAGCAGGTGGAGGTATGATACAATCAGAGCTCTGGGGCCCAGGTGGGATACATCTTCCAGAATTAGGTGTTGGAGTAGCAGTTCAGTAGTAGCCTCTGGGATTGAAACTTGACTGTTGGATCTTTATCGGAGAGGATGGAAAGGTAGTGTAAAAAGCTATTATAAAAGGTGAAATTGGGTTTGTTTTGCTGTTTTGCTTCGTTCTGTTGTGTAGAGAGAACTGTAAATGGGCCTCTAAAGCACAGGAGTGCTTTAATGTGCTTGGGAATTTCACCCCCAGCTCTGAGTTCTGGAACTTCGTATGATGGGGAGCAGGTATCTATTTTTATTATTTTTAAATTTTTATTATTATTAATTTTATTATTTTTATCAATAACAGACCTTTGGGATTTTTAAATAACTTTTTTTTTTTCAAAAAGTAGTGGCTGTAGTAGTGGTTACTCACAGGACTAAGGAAGGAGAAGTAATTACTGAGCACGCAGGCTCGCTGGGAGCAGGGAGGATGCTGTCTGAAGAGGTTTCTGGGGTGACTGCTGAGGTGAGACCTTATCATGCTCCTGAAAGGAGGGTGTAGAGAGGTGGGGGTTGGTCTCTTCTCCCAAGTTCCAGGAGACAGGACAAGAGGAAATGGCCTCAAGTTGTGCCTGGGGAGGTTCAGGTTGGATATTAGGAAAAATTTCACTGAAAGGGTGCTCAGGGAAGTGGTTGAGGGAGATACTCAAAAGACGAACTGTCATGGTGCTTGGGAATATGATTTAGTGTTGGTGTGTGTTGTGTGTTTTGTTTGGTGGGGTGGTTTTTTGTTTTTTTTTTTTTGTATGGTTGGACTAGATGATCTTAAAGGTCCCTTCCAACCTAGGCAATGCTGAACAGACCACAGAAAACTGAGTTGGTGGCCAGCCCTGCTGGTGGTACCATGGGTGTTGGTGCCTTCTGGGTCTGATGACAGCAGGTGGCAGCAGTTTGGGATAAATGGCTTAACACTCTGCACCTGGGAAAGGAGCTGCACCTCCAAGAATTTCTTCACAGTGTCCCCAAGTCATTAAAATAATTCTGCCAGCATTCTCAAAACGGATTAATTTTGCAGCGAACTCCTCTGGCTTTTAAGTATGAAGCATTTGTTTCTCCTCAGCGCGGTTGTGCTGAAAAGTGTTCCTAAGGCTGGAGCTAATTAGAGGAGGCTCTAAGAGTAACGTTAGTACCCTGACATTTTTGGGTGCTGTTGCTATAGTTAGTTTACAAGGTTTAAAATTTTATTAGTTGTTGCCTTTGCTGTGCTGGTGCAAACTTCAGGACTTTGGCGTGATAGAAAAATGGTTTTAAAGCAGGAGTGGAAAGTAGGGCAGGTGTGTCTGACCAGCCACAAAAGCCCTCTTATTTTATATTAAAAGCTGTGAGATTAGTTCTCCTTGAGGGCTTTTTGGAGAGGAGTCAAGACGGAGGGAAAATAATGCTGGAATAATGGGGAGAAATGTCATGAATGCCTGCTGACAGGCAAATCGCTCTGAGAGGGAGGTTTTTCCAAACATTTTGCTTTTTTTTTTTACTTTTTTTTAAACAGTTTTGGAAAGCCACTCTCTGAGCAGGCAGCTGCAGCGTGGGTCTGGGGGGGTGGTGGTCGGGATGTGGGACCCCATGGGCCACTGGTGTCCTGTTTGTGCCTGGGGGAGACAGGCACCTTCACCTGGTGCATGCACTTCTAGAAATGCTCCTGTAACCTGCAGTGAGGGGTTGGTGTTGAGGTGTTTCTACTGCCTCTTAATTGTTTAATTAAGCAGGTGTCCTCAACAGAGAAAGAACATGGACCTGTTGGAATGGGGCCAGTGGAGGGCCACAAAGATGATCAGAAGGATGGAGCATGTCTCTTATGAAGACAGGCTGAGAGAGCTGGGGTTGTTCAGCCTGGAGAAGAGAAGGCTCCAGGGAGACCTTATGGAAGCCTTCCAATGTCTGAAGGGAGCTTCAGGAGAGCTGTGGAGGGACTTTGTCAGGAAGGGTAATGATAGGACAAGGGGAAACAGTTTTAAATTGGAAGAGGGGAGATTTAGATGAGATACCAGAAAGAAATTCTTTGCTGTGAGGGTGGTGAGACACTGGAACAGGTTGCCCAGGGACACTGTGGATGCCCCATCCGTGGAGGGGTTCAAGGCCAGGCTGGATGGGGCTTGGAGCAACCTGGTCTGGTGGGAGGTGTCCCTGCCCAGGGCAGGGGGTTGGAACTAGATCATCTTTAAGGTCCCTTCCAACTCTAACCATTCTATGAAATTCTGGCTCCTGAAAGGCATCGGTTTTCCCGTTTGGGGTTTTTTTTTTTTGGTGGTGTGTTTATTTGGAGTTTTTGGTTTCTTGGTGGCGAGCGCCGGTACGCCCATGGTGGCCCACGCGTGTCCGCGGCCGCCAGTCCGCCCCCTCCCATCCCCTCCCCGAGACCCGCCTTGGGCGGCCACGTGGCCGATCCCCGCGCGCCTGGCCCCGCCCCCAGCGCCTCGCCGTTACCCGGCAGCGACACGTCAGGCCTGCTGGGTCCGACCAACTTCCGTTTCCGCCTTCGTGTCCGGTGAGGGCGGGCGGCCGCGGCGGGGCGAGGTGAGGGGAGCAGGGCCGCCGCGGCTGTCCTTGGGCCGCGCCGCACCGCCGCCATGGAGACGCTGTACCGCCTGCCTTTCGCCGTGCTCGAGTGCCCCAACATCAAGCTGAAGCGGCCGAGCTGGGTGCACATGCCCTCGGCCATGACGGTGTACGCGCTGGTGGTGGTGTCTTACTTCCTCATCACCGGAGGTGAGGCCGCGGCCTGTGGGGAGGGATGGAGAGAGAGACCCCTCTGCAGGCCCCTGGCCCCGTGTCGGCTCCAAACTGCCAACCTGGGGCGACCCCGCCCGTCCCGGGGGTGTCCGGGTGGTTCTCGCCGTTCGTTGCCGCGAGTGGGAGGTGATGTTTGGGCTTTTCTCCCCGCAGGTATTATCTACGACGTGATCGTGGAACCTCCCAGCGTGGGGTCGATGACAGACGAGCACGGGCATCAGAGGCCGGTGGCCTTCTTGGCCTACAGGTAGGAGGGGCAGGGCCCTGCCCCCGCCGCAGCACAGGTGGAGCAATCTGTCTGGCACAGCTGTGTGCACTTTTGAGAGCTCTGTGCACGGCAGGATCTGCTCTGTATCAGGCCTTGGCCTGTACATATTTGGAGGAAAAAAAAAAAAATCACAAACCAAACGCAGCATTGAAATCAGTAAAAATACAAGAACTCAGTCCTTTTAAACTTTTAAAAATGAAAAGCCTGGTAAGGAAAAAGTTTTGAGGTGGCAATGCTGCTCCTTTTTTCTATACCCTTGCTATTAAAATTGAGTTTTACAGTGGGTGCAGACACATTTGGTCATATTTCATAGCAGCCTACATAATTGTGGAACTTGTGGTTCTGGTCTTTTAAACTCTAGTGTAATTGGGGCTCATGTCTGAGGCTGGGAGAGGGACTCTTTGTCAGGGAGTGCAGTGACAGGACAAGGGGGAAGGGTTTTAAATTGGAAGAGGGGAGATTTAGATGAGATACCAGAAAGAAATTCTTTCCTGTGAGGGTGGTGAGACACTGGAACAGGTTGCCCAGAGAAGCTGTGGCTGCCCCATCCCTGGAGGGGTTCAAGGCCAGGCTGGATGGGGCTTGGAGCAACCTGGTCTGGTGGGAGGTGTCCCTGCCCAGGGCAGGGGGGCTGGAACTTGGAGATCTTTAGGGTGCCTTCCAACTCTGACCATTCCGTGATTCTATGAACATAGTTATAAATGTGTAACAACAGTGTCTTCTTTGAGTCTTTTGCTTCTTTTACTGAAAACAAGTTAGAGACTGCTTAGTAACAAATTGTTCTTAAAAGGGATAAATTTACATTTGCAACTGTGTTTTTTATGTACGTGGAAACAGATAATGTTTTTTGTTAAATGCCAAAAGGAGTTATTTGAGTCTCTGAGGTCTGTGACCTGCCTCCTGTAGAGATCTTGACTTGAATTAGATGCAGTATATGTCTTGGGCTGGCTTGGATTGCTGCAATCTAGATGAATTAGGCTACTGCAGGGAGTCAGTGAAAACAACATGAAAGAAGACGATATTAATTGTTTTCAGGATATAAGACAATAATGATGATCTTAATTTCTGTATTAACATCCACAATAGTTTCAACCATTCCAACTTTATAAGGTTGCTAGTATTGCTAATTAATAGGAAAAAGGTTCAGTGACTGCAGAAAGCGCAGACTTGTGATCTAGGTGCACTATTTTTTCCTCCATCTTGGTTTCCCCTCTCTCCATCTGAGCGTTGTCAGAAGGAAGCCCAGCAGTGTGGCCTGACAGAGAGCTGGGGTGCTTTCGGGCTGGGTCCCCACAGTCGATGTGTGCAGGCTCAGCGAGCATTGGAGCAGGGGTTGTGGTTCTGTGCCTCGAGTCATCTCTACAACCAGCTGCTACTTTGGACTAGATTTTTCTGAAAACGGATGAGCTTCCTTGGTAGCCATTGGTATATGCTATTATGTATAAAACCGTTAATATGCTTGGCTGGGCACCTTGCAGACTATCAGTCCAGAACATAAATTGAATATTAAAGCCTTGATGTAATTCCGTAACATCAGTTTCCATACCGACTTTTTGTGAGAAGGTTAATCATTCTGTGTATTTGTACAGCTAAAGCAGGTTGAGTAGGTGCGGTTTGAAGCGTGTAAATAATTTCTTCAAAACTATTTTTTTTCTGACTCTCTCATCCCTTCACCTCTTCCCCCCCCCTTTTTTTTTTTTTCCTTTAGAGTAAATGGGCAATATATTATGGAAGGGCTTGCATCCAGCTTCCTCTTCACCATGGGTGGCTTAGGATTCATAATTCTGGATCGATCCAACGCACCAAATATTCCCAAGCTGAATAGGTTTCTTTTGCTCTTTATTGGATTTGTCAGCGTGCTTTTGAGCTTCTTCATGGCCAGAGTTTTCATGAGGATGAAATTACCGTAAGTGATTTAATACTCTTCAGCTTTTCTTCTCTTTTTGTGTCTCGTGTGTGCCTTTGTTAAATTTAAGAGTAACAGAAAACACAGTGAGGTATGCTAGAGATCTGCAGCTTGGCTGTAAGTGGTTTTTTTCAGTGCTTTGTTGGAACAAGCTACCTTGAATGAGGTGGGATGCTTTTGGGGCCAGCTACTGTAAGATTGTGCTGTGGTTAAAAAAAAAGGTGACAGTACCCGGTATGTCACAAGATTGGATTAGTGAGTCTGACTTAATTTCATTTTAAGGAAGACAGAACATGTGCTGGTCAGGTAAAAGTAATTACAATCTAGGGCTTTGAGGAAAAAGCAGATGTCAAAGAACTTGAAGAAAGGCAAGTGAGTTCTTTATTCTGACAGGGTACATGAGAGATCATAACTAGAAGAACTGATAGCAGCAGTAATGAGTGTTCAGAAACATCCAAAGTAAACATCTAAAGTAAAGATGATGTCTCAGGTTTTCTTTTTTTTGTTGCTTGTAAACTGAACATAACACTGAAGCATACAATATATGTGGCATTTTAATATGTCTGTTTTCACAGATCAAAAAGTAGGAAAGATCTGGAGCTTTTAAGCTATGCAAAACTGAATTTTCAATTTTTTTCTCCCTTTATATTTTTGAGTCCGTGTATTTCATTTAGAACAGCTGAAACCTGATGTTTGGAGATACTGGTAGTTAATTTCTGGAGTAGCTCCACTACACGTTGATTTAACAATGACAATCATTCCTTCTTTCTTAGATTTTTTTTTTTTCAGTGTATTAAAAAAAATGCTTTTTAACACAGAATTGATGGGTTCCCTGGGAGCAGGTAGCTGGATAGGGACCTGCTCTGTGTTTTCTTGCTTCATTGAGTACATGTGTCTTCTCTTTCTTAAACTCACCAAAGAAACAGGGCTTTAGAGAAATGGAAGAGAAAAAGAGACCAGATTTGTGCTGAGTGCCAGAAAATGTTGGGTTATACTGAATATCTTAACACTGTTAATTTGCATAAAGGGTACAAATCGCTTTTCGTGGAGTGTGACCTGGGCTTCAAAAATTCTAAATTATTACCAAAGCTGGATTGAGAACAGGCTAATCCATTTTCAGAGTTCATTGAAGAAACTCAACTGAGGAAGGAGCGTGTAGTTAAGCTGGCCAGTTTGTACCTTGGGCAGGATTCATTGTTTGAAATAGCTGTGATCAGCAGTAAAGGGTACAAATAAAGTGCTTTTCATGGAGTGTAACCTGGGCTTCAAAAATTCTAAACTATTACCAAAGCTGGATTGAGAACAGGCTAACTGTTAATTTGCATAAAGGGTACAAATCGCTTTTCGTGGAGTGTGACCTGGGCTTCAAAAATTCTAAATTATTACCAAAGCTGGATTGAGAACAGGCTAATCCATTTTCAGAGTTCATTGAAGAAACTCAACTGAGGAAGGAGCGTGTAGTTAAGCTGGCCAGTTTGTACCTTGGGCAGGATTCATTGTTTGAAATAGCTGTGATCAGCAGAGTCTTTGGCAGTCTGAAGTTCTTGTTTTAAGACCATGTCTCTTCAGTTTTGAGGAGTGCTGCCTGTGTTTGCTAACCTTTTTTCTAACTTAAATTTTTTCTGTAGGGGCTACTTGATGGGTTAGAACCTCTTGTGACGTATGAAAGCCCGAGGTGAATTTATTCCTCTTCATGAAGTGTTGAAGAAGAAGCAGCAAGAAACAAATCCCATAGATACCATCAATAGGAGACCTGGTCATGAGAACCAACTGGGGAAAGAATGCTTTCTCTGCAAACGAACTGTCATTACCAATGGCTGATTTGGAGTTTTGAAGCAATGCTTTATCATTTCTGCTTTAGGGCTTTTGAAAAGAGCAAGTCACCCAGCTGGGTTTTTCTTCTATATCCCAACTCAGTATGAAATAGAGAACCTATCTTCAGCTCTACCTGAAATGAGTATTAGCCATTGGCTTGACAGTTCTTTGTTGCAGGTCTGTCTCCTCTTCCCTGTGTGGAATGTTTGTGTGTGCGAATTGGAGAAGAAACACCTGAAATGTTTCTTTCTGGGCCATAAGTAGAAAATTAGTAACTTTAGATGCTGTACAGTCAAAATACGACGTGTCTCAAATTTATTTCAAAGGCACCTTTTGCCTTGATATTAATGGCTCTATGTGAGCAAAACCAGACATGCACTGGGAAAGGCGAACTGTATGAATGTGCATTTCTTTTTGAAAAAGTGTACGAAAGGAGCCAAATAAAAATTATTTTCTACAAAATTATTTTAATTCTATGCAGTTTCTGAAGCTCGCTCTTGTGTGGGTGGCCTGTTCTGCATCCAGGCTTGAGCTACCATACCATGACCACATAATTTCAGCTGTTTTTCACTACTGGATAATGACCTTTTTGCGACCACTTCATTTCAGCTCTGTTTTTCACTACTGGATAATGACCTTTTTTTCTTTTCAGTATCAGGGACAAGAAACCTCATATTTTCCATGATCTTGTACTGTATCCAAACGACATGCAAACTTAATTCTGAAGCTGCTGCTTTTTTTTTTTTTGTGTGTGTGTGTTAAGAGTAGAGTCTTAAACTTACTTTCTCTTCATTTTAAAAGATTGAATCATGTTTCACTGAAATTAGAGTCTTAAACTTACTTTGTCTTCATTTTAAAAGATTGAATCATGTTTCACTGAAATAACGTATTGCATTCTGGGGGAAGGAGAGATCCCTCCAGATCTCCATAAATGTATTTTTTGCAAGCCATATATGTTTGAAGCACTCTTTTAATCTGTATAATAATTGTCAGTGAGAAATGTTGATCCTGTAATTATGAAGTAAGTATTCTCCATGAACTTGTACTGTATCCAAACGACATGCTGTCATCAATAGCCAAGAAACTTAATTCTGAAGCTGCTGCTTTTTTTTTTTTTGTGTTAGAGTCTTAAACTTACTTTGTCTTCATTTTAAAAGATTGAATCATGTTTCACTGAAATAACGTATTGCATTCTGGGGGAAGGAGAGATCCCTCCAGATCTCCATAAATGTATTTTTTGCAAGCCATATATGTTTGAAGCACTCTTTTAATCTGTATAATAATTGTCAGTGAGAAATGTTGATCCTGTAATTATGAAGTAAGTATTACCGTTCACCTACTTAATCAAATTTCTGAGCTAGCTGTTAATCATCTGGATTCCACCTCGGGATGTGTCGCTTCCACCCCCTCATCCAATGTGACTTTTGCATATGCTCATGTTACATGTTTGTCATTAAGATTTAAGGTAGCTTAAGCTGTTTTATGAGGCTCATAACTGTAAAGTTTCTAGTCTTTTCAAAGCAGTTATCTTTTGGTCACTCAGTTTTGGTGAGATGCTTGCTTACCTTCATGGGGGTGTGTTGATATTACGTAAGTAAATAAATGGGTGTGTAAGTCACCTTTTTTAATACAGCTGAGGGGGAAGTCAAACCAGAAAAGTCACCGTATAATGAGATCCCTGCGTCTCAGTACTTGTCCCACTGCAGTTCAGCTTCAGCCTCTGAGCTTGCAGCTGATTCTAAATGAGTGTGCTCTTAAACAGTGGTTTCAATGGTACAGTTGAATGCCTGTGGTCCATGAAATGCATTTGATTAAAATTGCATGCCAGGTGACATCAATTGAAAGGAATAAAGCAGACTTATAATTGCAAGGTAGAAGATAGTTTTAGGAGAGTAGAACTAAGATGATAGCTCTGTCTGCAACAAACAAGATTAACTTATCCCTTATGTTTCCTTGGTCACAGGCTACGAACTAGATCTGCTATGATCCTCTGCCAAAGCATGAGGCACAGAGAGAATCAGGAAAGGAAAGGCAGAGCAGAAGACAGACCACACAGAAATGAGGAGTGCACTAGGTAGGAAGATGTGAGAATGCACAGCTGGAGATTGGTTGATTTTGGATGTGAGTTGGAGGCTTCTTAGTCATTCAAGGAAAAATTTCTAATGAGCCTTATCAAACTGCAAAGAGGAGGTGTTGCTGTGAGTTACAGAAGTCCCATTTGCAGTTAAAGAAAGGCTGGTGTTTTCTGTAAACATCTGCTGTTCTTCATAGGTGACAGCAGGTGGCCTCAGCTGTAGGAGTTCAGGATACTAATAGGAATATTTCAGTGACAGAAAACTTTCTCTAACTAGTGACAGTATCTGTCTGTGTTTGGTGTTTGTATCTTCTAGGGTGAATTGAACTATATTGTGGGGTGGGAAATTAAAAACAAAATTGAAACACTGTGATAAAGGAAAAGCTGAGCTGATAGGAGCACATCTTTCCATGATGAAAAGCAGAAGTTTGGCCTATTTCCAGGTGCAATGAAAAGAGTCAAGCTGAAGTGTAGGGGTCTTGATTTTTCTGGCTCTCTTTCTGGGGAAAATACTGAATCCATGGTTCCCCTGTAGGCTTCAGTATAATCTCTTGAGTGATGATGTCCAGTCAATATAGTCAGGAAGAGATGTATAACCTGTGTAGCTTTTGAAAATGAGTATATGCATGTATGAGCCCTTAACAATCCAAGGGATCTTATACTTAATTGAGTTAAGCTGAAAAATACTTCTAGGTAAAAAAAGCCCAGACATTCTGGTTTCCATTTTTTCCCCCGAATGCCTTTTCCAGACTTCTGTAAATTGTGGAACAGTAACACAGAATCATTTAGGTTTGGAAAAGACCCTTAAGATCATTGAGTCCAACTGTTAATCCAGCACTGCCAAGTCCACCACTAAACCATGTCCCTAAGCACCACATCTGCATGTCTTCTAAATACCTCCAGGGGTGGTGACTCAACCACTTCTCTGGGCAGCCTGTTCCAGTGCTTGACAACCCTTTTGGTGAAGAAATTTTTTCCTCATATCCAATCTAAACCTCCCCTGGCACAACTTGAGGCCTATCACTTGTTACCTGGGAGAGGAGACCGACCCCCACCTCGCCACCCTCTCCTTTCAGGTAGTTGTAGAGAATGATAAGGTTCTCCCCTCAGCATCCATTTCTCCAGGCTACAACTCCAGTTTCCTCAGCTGCTCCTCATAAGACTTGTGCTCTGGGCCCTTCACCAGCTTTGGTGCCCTTCTCTGAGCTCACTCCAGCACCTCAATGTCTGTCATGTAGTGAGGGGCCTAGAACTGAACACAGTACTCAAGGTGAGGCCTCACCAGTGCCGAGTACAGGGGAACAATCGCTTCCCTGCTCCTGCTGGCCATGCTATTCCTGACACAAGCCAGGATGCTGCTGGCCTTCCTGTCCACCTGGGCACACTGCTGGCTCATGTTAAGCCAACAGTTGACCAACACCCCCAGGTCCTTTTCTGCCAGGCAGCTCCAGCCACTCTGCCCCCGGCCTGTAGCGCTGCAGGGGGTTGGTGTGAGCAAAATGCACTTGGCCTTGTTGAACCTCATCCCGTTGGCCTCAACCCATTGATCCAGCCTGTCCAGATCCCTTTTGTAGAGCCTTCCTACCTTCAGACTGAAGAAGAATTAAGTACTTCATCCTTTGTCACTATGTTTTCACCCCAGCCAATAAAGGATGGAGATCCTCCTTAGCCCTCCTTTTGTTGTTAATATATTTATAGAAACATTTTTTATTGTATTTTATGGCGGTAGCCAGGTTAAGTTCTAGTTGGGCTTTGGCCCTTCTAATTTTCTCCCTGCATAACCTCACAACACGTTGGTAGTCCTCCTGAGTTGCCTGACCCTTTTTCCAAAGGTCATAAATGGTTTTTTTCCTGAGCTTCAGCCAAAACTGTCTATTCAGCCAGGCTGGTCTTCACCACTGGCTTGTCTTTTGGCACATAGGGGCAGCCTGCTCCTGTACTTTTAAGATTTGCTTCTTGAAGAACGTCCAGCCTTCCTGGACTCCTTTGCCCTTCAGCGCGGCCTCCCAAGGGGCTCTGTGGAGGCTCCTCTACAGACCAAAGTCTGCCTTCTGGAAGGCCAAGGTATTAGTTCTGCTGACCACCATGCTTGCTTCTCCAAGAATTGAGACATGTTTGGGAGATCTGTGCCACTGAAACAATTTTTGGAGGGAGGGGGACACTTCCGCCATTTTGAGGAGATACCGATAAATGCTCTTGCTGGTAAAGATAAGCATGGCATTAGACCGCCATTAGATTTTCTTATTAATGTACAGCATTCTAATTCTAAATATGTTGTCCTTAATGGAGTTTTGCTTAGGAGGCCGGAAGTGCTCTGGTTAACTACTTGGAAAGCTGGATACTTGTTCACAGAATACTGCTTGATATGGATACTATAGTGTACCTATTTCCAGTTCCAGTTGTTTATTTTATATGCATAAATATATGTTCTTCACATAATAAATTAGGAACCACTACATATTAGACTTCTTAAGAGCTACAGTCTTAGAATCTGAGACAATCCTAAATTTCTTCTGCTGCTCCCAATACAGGGAGGCAGTGTGGGTATGATGAAGAGGGCAATTCTCATTTATTTTCCTGACACACATAGAAATGCTGCATACAATGGAAACTGTTTTCCTACAGCATAGCAATATCTGTGACAATGCACTAGGTATTGTACGTTTGTGAATCTGATAATTGTATTTTTCCTCCAGCGTTAACGATTTTCCTCACAAAAAGGGTTGTGGCAATAGTTCTGGCCTATTTTTAGAATTTCTAATTGCCGCTTCTCAACTTTGCAGTTACTTTAGAATATTTTTGTTCCGGAACGTGGTTAAAGAGGATGGAAACCGTTACAAGAAAGCAATTGGAACAATTGTAAGAATCTTAGGAGAACATTTTGTAACGCTCTGCAGTCGCATTGAGGCTTTTCAGCTATACTGATGATTGGAGACTTGTGGATTTCAGTAACAGCAAAAAATACAACTAATGCATCGAGCTCTTCTTAAAGGGTAGCGTTTCATGGGAAGCAGCTACTAGAAATACAAGAGTTTCTAGGTGATTTGGTTTGATTTGGTAAGAACTAATTATGCTGGTGTCCTTTTTGTTTGACATGGATACTCGTCAGCAAAGAACTGGAGTGAGACCATGTGCTCATTTTAGAGCAACAGCTGTGGCACTATAATGGGAGTCAAGCATGTCTGACTTGCACCAAGTTTTAATTGGAGATAGAGATGCAAGGCTTCTGATAGCTAGTATCTTGAATCTGCAGGGGGTTTTAATTGGAGATAGAGATGCGAGGCACTGCATTCTGATAGCTAGTATCTTGAATCTGCAGGGCACCTTGCCAAGCTCCTGCTTAATGATATCAGTTTAGTTACTAATACTCTGCGGGTACAAGATGGAGTTTCTCTTCATCATGTTAACTATCCCATATGGGTTCTATAAATGTCAACGCTCTTAGAATGTTCTACCTGCAGGCTGCAAGAAATAGTATTGAGTTGTGAGTAAATCAGATCAATATGGTATCATCCGCTGCCTTACACTTTCGAAAAACTGACACTTGTTATTTCCTTCTTATTTTTCTGTATCAGTTTTCACTACAAAGGTCAATGTTGAGGTGGGGACTGGTATGCCTTTGGTGTTGCGGTCATTGTATGGTCCTAGCTGGAAAGAGGGAAAGAAAAGTTTTGAAAGGACTCAGACTGGTTGTGTTATTCTAGACTATAGTGTGAAAGTTAAACTTTTTCTATGTTACTTAGTAGACAGGCTGAAACGATTTCAGAACTTTTAGTTATTCCTGACAGCTCCTGGATGATAAATAATATGTTCACTATATTCAGCCTTCCAGTACCTCATCTGTCTTTAGATGCAGATGGAGAGTGTGAGGGATGGGGAATAATAAAAAAATAAACTTAACTCTGAAGAAAAAGGTTTGGGGGCAGGGGAAGCATTTTAAGGATCTGGAAGAAGATGGCAAAAAGATGAGCAGCCAACTTGGATTTTTAAAGAATAAGTCATGTAAAGAAAAAGCCATACATGAGAGTTATGGGCCCCATGGATAGAAGGAAAGCAGATGTTTAGGCTGTATCTTTTGATACTGTCTTGCATGTTATGGAACCTTGGCTTAGCCAAAACAACTATAAGCTGGATACCAAAGTACTTTGAAAACCATTTTCAGAGTGTTTACTGATTAGTTGATGTCATTCTATCAAAGTGGATATATTATTTTTGAGGTCTGTCCTGTGGTTAATTTTGTTCAACACCCAGTGACCCGGATCGAGAAGATACATTATTTTTGAGGTCTGTCCTGTGGTTAGTTTTGTTCAACACCCAGTGACCCGGATCGAGTAGGGAATACATATGAAACTAGCAGAAATCATATAATTCAGAGACTGCTGGAAGGGCAGAATTAGCATGCATAATGTTCTTAACAAAAAAAAAAAAAAAGTACTTCAAAAACTGTCTTGCATGTTATGGAACCTTGGCTGCGCCAAAACAACTATAAGCTTGATACCAAAGTACTTTGAAAACCATTTTCAGAGTGTTTACTGATTAGTTGATGTCATTCTATCAAAGTGGAAAGATACATTATTTTTGAGGTCTGTCCTGTGGTTAGTTTTGTTCAACACCCAGTGACCCGGATCGAGTAGGGAATACATATGAAACTAGCAGAAATCATATAATTCAGAGACTGCTGGAAGGGCAGAATTAGCATGCATAATGTTCTTAACAAAAAAAAAAAAAAAGTGTCCTAAAAAAAGTAGGCTAGTTTATTCTTTCTAGGAAAAAGTGCAAAATACCAATGCTACACAAGCAAAATAATTGATGAAACACAGGATTCCTCAGAGGAAGTCCTTGGGTTCTGCTGCACTGCAAGCTGAAGAGGAACGTTTGCCTTTTTTGCAGCAATACAACATCACTGAGATATTTGCAAAACTTTTAACTACAGAGTACATGAGGCGTAAAACTAAGTGTGAAAAGGAAAGGAGTAATTTCCTTTCTGCATCAGCAGTTCATAGAGCTTAATTAGCGGCAAGGAAAAGTTGGGATAATACTAGTAGAAAAATATTTTTGAGGGTAAAATAGTTGACTACTGGACTAGATGGTATGTGGCTGCGAAGGAATTTCTGCTGTGCACAGCTTTAAGAATAGGCTAGGCAAATGCCTGTTAAAATCTGCAGATATGTGTGGTGTTTTGGGGTGAGTGACTGCCTTCTCAAGGTATCTTAAAAGGGCTGCCCATCTTTATTATTCCATGGATGAGAACAAAACTTTTGACCTTCCAGAGACTGATACTCTTTGTCTTTAAAAACAGTTATAGAAAGGTCTTTGTAAATAAGTAATTCCGTCCTTTAACAATATCCCTGTGGTGCAGTTGTGGGACAGAATCCTGCTGGCCTCCATTCAGTCCAAAAAAATCAAGTAGTTGTACGACCTAGACATGACAGTAGAAAGTAGCTCCATTAACTGCCTACTTCCAGAACAGAAAATGTATTAACTGTTGGAGTAAAGAAAATATAAATGTATGGACGAATGCCTAAAGCCTTTTCCTTTCCTAATTTCCATGTTAGTCTTTCACCTAAAAGGTGTTACAATTAGGTGGCTGTCAGTATAGCTGCTGTTTTAGAATAGGACGACGAGTGGGTGGAGGGAGCCTGTGATAATTCTAGGAGGTATTTTGCTGATGGAGCTTTCTATCCGTTTCTGCCTCCTCTGAGCTGGAGCAGCAGTAGACACTAATACACTTTTCAATTACACAGACTTCTCCAGATCCCTCCTTTCGGGAACTGTGCCCCCCTGACCCATGGAATTTAACTTCTTCAGTGTTTTTCCCGAGTGTGTGTGCCTCTGTCTGCTCCAGTTGGTTGTTAAACCAACTCTGAACTACTGTGTTTCATCTCTTTTTGCTGGCCTGCTGCTGGCCTGAGCTCTTTTCGAGGGATTTATGCTATTGTCTTTCAGCAGCTGCCATCCCTTGTTTCTTTGCTGTCATTCTAGACTTCCGAGTTTCAGGACACCACTGCTGGTTTTGATTGCTCTTTTTCTAACTGCTGTGGTATTTCTGCCTTCAATGAGTATTATTCATCAGTCTCCTCAGCCCCTCCACTTCCTTATTCTTCCTCCTCTGGTACTTTCTCTTTTATCACACTGAAATCCATCACTTGGCCCCACCAGCCACTTGGCCATCCATCAGCCTTGCTCCTCTTGGCTTTCCTACCTCTCCATTCCTTCTACTTTAACTAAAGGTCCTTTAATTTTCCCTGCTGACCGCTGCCTGAGCTACTTCACCCTGCACTGACTCCACACTTCATTAGCTCCTGCCGTCCGTGGCAAAGCTCAACCTCCTGGCTTCTTTCATCCTTTCAGCCTCTCTCATCATCTTGGTCGTTCCTTTGACTGTTCCGGTTTTCTCTTAGCCGTCTCATATCTTTGTCTTTATTGTTCTGCACTCCACACCATCTGTTGTGCTGCTGCCTGCATGACTCATCCTGAAAACAATAAAAATCCTACTGCATCCCCAAGCATTACGCTAGGGAGCCAGCAAGGCACTCCTGTATCCAAAATCTACATCAACAGCAGTCAAACCGAGATCCTTATGGAATTCAGGTACATAATTTTTGTTTAAATCAATAGAAGTTAACTGCCAAATACATCTGAGAATCCTGCCAAAGTTTCATCACAGCTCTAAGAAAAGGAGGCACTTGTTTCCTGGGGCTGGATTTAAAAACACCTCTGCAGGGGTAACCTGAAAGTTCTTAAGTTTCTTAGCAAGTAACTCTATTTTTTTTCTGCGCATACATACAATTACTGAGTGTTTTATGAGCATAGACAGCATATGATCTGTACACAATGGAACAAACTAAGAAAAATCTGTCACAAATACCAAGATTCATATATACAGTAGACAAGGCAATAAATATGAAAGCTCATAAAACCAGGGTAATGGAATGTTCCACCAGACTTTTTTTTTAAAGATACACAAGGCACACAGTGCTCAAAACCACTGCTACTTAGCAAAATTATTAACAAACTAGATTTAAACCATCACTTGGTTTCATAGCCTAAGCAGGAATTATTTTAGATATACGAGGAAGTTTTTTCCCTCTAATGTTTTCAAAGGTAGTAGAAACACACAGTGAGCTTAAATATTTTCTTGTCTCATCTAACACCTAAATGTTTTCAAAGCAGTAGTAGAAACACATAGTGACCTTAAATATTTTCTTGTCTCATCTAACACCTGGATCAACCCATGCTATACTTCACTGAAATCAATGGAGACAGCCTGTACAAAGGGGAAATCAGGCTTGTAATACTTCAAGTGTGTCTAAGAGTTGTGTTTAACTGCAGCTTGTTTCGTGGACTGGGACTGAAGAAGCCTCATTTTACCTACTTGGGATGGTCAGTGCAAAGTGTTGCTGTTCAGAGTCATTTGGATGTGGTGTTGGGGGATATATGGACTGTGACTGAAGAAGCCTCATTTTACCTACTTTGGATGGTCAGTGCAAAGTGTTGCTGTTAAGAGTCATTTGGATGTGGTGTTGGGGGATATGGTGTAGGGGAGAACTTCGTAGAGTAGGGTTGATGGTTGGACTCGATGACCCCAAGGGTCTTTTCGTACCTGAATGAGTCTATGATTGTATGTACAGCTGCATTTGGAAAATAAATGTCTTTTACTTAAACACTGTAACCAATATCTGAAGCTGACTAAAGAAATTCTACCATTAGTAGTTCCAGCATCGTTATTAGCTACTATTTTTAATCTTCTTCAGCCTTCAAACTTACTAATTTTACTTATCTGCTGTTTCAGTCATCTGTTAAGCCCTTGGTTCCCCACTGGATGGCAGTCCCTGCCGCGCTATTCGCTCTGGGAAGGAAAGGCTGGTTTCAAAAGCAGCACACGGAAATCTCATCCTGCTTTGGACATGAATATGTACATGAAATATTACAGTGGTGAGTATATTTGGATCCATTTTTCTTGTTGCTAAAGTATATGTATGTGAAAGACTTTTCTGTAGATTTCTTTCACTTGAATTCATTTTCCGATTGAAACTTCAGGGTTTAAAAGTGTGCAAGAGGGTAACAACTTGCACTTGTATGGCACCATCCAAAAACTTCAAAGTACTTTATACAGACTAGGTCAATGAAGAAGTCAGTGTGAGTGTGTGTATATATATATATATATAATATAAATATATGTGCTGAGTTTATACATAGCTCATAAAGGGTAAAAATATTTGGAGTATTACAAAGTGGTATGAATTACTCAAAATTACAGTATTTACATAGAGAGGTAAGCAAATAAACCCTCAGTCTTTTGATTAAACATCTTCTGTATGTCTGATGGTGAGAAAGGAATTAAATGGCTAAAAGGAATGGACTATTTCAGTGGTTAAAATACAGTAAATGTAGGGATAAGAACTATGTCGTATTCAAGTGATGACTGATGTCCATAAATTCCAATTAAAAGTCAGAACATAGGTTGCAGAGGTAGAGAAAGCCATGTGGACTTCACCAGGGTTTGTGTGTATGGTTATAAAGCAAGGTGAGTTTACTACCTCAAGGTTGTAGAAAACTTCCTGCCAAAACGTGGAACTCTCCCTGCTGGCATCAGTCTTGAAGCATAATGTGAAAAAGTGTTGATGAAGCCCCCATAAAATACCGCAATCTGCAATTTGCATTTACTTAAGTTAGTAGGGATTTCACCCCGGTGTATTTTAAGGCAATGAGAGTCTCTTGTTTCACTTGGATAGAAATTTAACTGACAGCTTATTACAGATAAGCCCTGTAGATGTCTCTTCAACAGTGAAAGGGAGATAAATGAGAATAGGAGGAAGAATGTGTGCATCAGTGCCTGCAGAAAAGACCCCTTTCAACACCCTTTACAGATGCCTGCATCTGAGCATTAATGTCTGTCACACAGATGGCTGGTTTTATGCCCCTTTTACAGATGGAATGTTGAGACAGTAAAGCAACTAGCTTAAAGTTACGTAGCAGCTCTTTGTAAGCAGAGCTAGGAATAAAGTGTAGCTCTGATTGTTGTTTCTGCATCCTACCAACAGCATGAAGTGCTGTCAGTTCAGCAGCAAGCATTCACTAGAGTTTTTACAAAATTTTCTTAAAATTCTAGTTATTTTCAGGGTAATGATGACTTTTTAAATGCTTTTGTCAAAGGGCACTTTCTACAGAGAAGAAATATATTGCAACAGCATTGTGTTGAAACTTTAGGCACAGTACTTCACCTCCTGCTTACTAGTTTGTTGCCAAGCTCTGTCTGTTCCATTTCCTGAGGTGGAGACTGTTTCACTGCAAGTTCATTCCTGGTGTCTCCTTCACCCTCCTTTACATCTCATATATTACTGAAACGGTTGCTCCCAGCTCTCTCGAGTTGGTCTGTTGTGCTAAACTCTTCCCTTCGATAAATTTTTGAAGTCATATTTCCACTGCTGTTAGCTTTTTCGCTTGTGCCCCGTAAAGTTCTGCTGAAATATCACATTATTCTTTTCCAAGCACGCCCTCCTTTGAAATGAGCAGGCCAAAGTTCTGCTTTGGGGCTGAGACCAGCCCAACAGTTTCTCTCCATCTATCTCCTCCTGCTGCCCATCTATCTGTTTGCAGCCATCTGCTGCCTCTTGCCCAAGTGCCACCTGTAAGCTCCCCGGGGCGAGGGCCAGGATGTTTCTGCCACACCTTGTCCACGTAAAGGACTCCTCGGCGCTTCAGTTACACCCACGGCAGATTTTGCATTAATTAAATTTTATCACGAGAAACCCTCCCACCAAATTCCTGAGCAACCCTACTGTTTATCTCCGTCAGATGGAGGTTTCCCATTACTTTCTTTCTAAGTTGCCACTTTCTTTTCCCTTTGCAACTCTTCCACAGTTTTCCGTGTCCGGCTTTCCATTCCTCTCCTCTCCCCCCACCCTCCTCCCCAGCTTTCTCCTCGCGGGGAAGTGCTGGTGCCCTCATTAGCGTGGCCCAGTTCTTTGCATTTCCGAGGCCTTTATTCAAGCTCCCTGCCAGCCACTTTCTCCCTGTTTATTCCCAGCTTTTCTCTGGCTGGGAGCGTGCCCCGGCACACCCTCCGCTCCGGGCCAATCCTTTCCCACGCTGACGCAAGCTGTTTTTTGGTCTACTGCCTGTCCCAAGATAACCTCCCTCACTGTCCCCTCACGGTCACATCCTGCCACTTAGGAAGGGGAGGGAGTGTTCTCCTCTGCCGGACGGTCTCGGTTGGGGAGACTACTGCCTTGGGTAGATAATCAGGGAGACAAAGCACGTTACTTTTTATTGTACTTTGTGCTGACACCACAAGCAGAGGCAAGCTGTGCATAGAGCAGGGCAAGTGGCCACATGGCAATGAATTTAGAGCTGCTCCGGCACAGTCAGACGCGTGCGCTCATCCTCTCTGGAAAATCGCAGGAATTTAATGATTGAATACTTAAATTCAGGGAAGGGAGGATGTTTGGTTATTGTCGATGATTCTTTCGCTTCCTAGGCTGAGGAAAATAGCCCTAAAGAAAAATTGTCCCATAAGGTTAGAAAGACCAATTGTTCAGGCTGGATATTAGGAAAAATTTTTTCACTGAAAGGGTTATCAGGCATTGGAATGGGCTGCCCAGGGAGGTGGTTGAGGCACCATCCCTGGAGGTGTTCAAAAGATGGGTTGATGAAGTGCTGGGAGGTATGGTTTAGTGATGATGCTCCTTGTTTGTTGTGTGGGTGTCTATTTTTGTCAGGTTGACGGTTGGACAAGATGATCTTTAAGGTCCCTTCCAACCTAGAAGATTCTGTGATTCTGTGATTCAAAAAGGGTGCTCCCTGAGTGCAGTCAGGTTAAAGCTGCAAAGCTTTGTTCCTCACTGAGATACAGGCTTCTTTATGGTGTGTGAACATCCATGATTCCAGGGTTTTGGTTTGGCCTGCTGTACAGACAACTGTGACCCAGCTGTGAGTGGCATCCAGAAATATAACACATTTGCCCAAGGCTTGGAGATGTCTTTTAAGGTTTTCCTGTTGTATGACGGGTGTTTATAGCCTTCCCCAATGCACACAGTGGAACCGTATTTGTGCTCTGAAATTCAGGTGTTGATTGCTGTGTTGCTCTAATAAATTCAGAAAAAAATATATCTTCCTGAAAAGTCTCCTGTATTCTCCTGGGTTCATTTATGAAACGAAATTGCACATAGATTAGCTATTAGTGGACCAAAAGAGGTTGCTGTAACTTATGCCTGCTTAGCCATAATGCCACACGGTTGTAAAACGTTTTATTAAAAGCTTTTCATAACTGAGGCTCCCTTGCCCTGTTCACGTTCATCTGCTTCATAGTGGGGGCTTGGAAGAGGCTTATTTTAGGCAGCTTTGTGCAATGTCTGCACTGAAGGAACCATCCTTTGGTCCTAAGGACCACACTGTGGGTTCACATACGAGCTTTCAGGCAGCTCTATGCTAGTTGCCCTCCACGTAATCTCTGACACGCTCTGCCCTGTGATGATTCCCATTTCTGATTTGTATTTTCTTGTGGATCGCAGAGTATACTTTTTGCAGTTACTATTATTAAAAAAATGTGGTCGTTGCTTGTTCTGTGGTGATGCTTAGAGGAGCAAACTCACACTGGGTTTCATCGTGTTGGTTACACAAACCCATGGATGGCATTGCTGAGCTCAGAGTAGGTTGGGTAGGTAGGGAAGAGGAGTTTGGTGATGACACAGCTCTTCCTCCACCCCTCCAACCTGAAATCTCAGGTGGACTTGCATATGTGGTGGAATTGAAACTGAAATTGTTTCTGACACATCAGGGAGTCACTTGCACCATACGTTTGACATGTTTTCTCATCACCTTGAGAAATATCTGCCAAGTTTAATTCTTGCCTGTTGTTGCAGTTTGGGAGGATCTCTCCTTGGCTGATGTTCTCCTAGAACCTCACTGCTCCTCATTTTACTTAGATATGGTGCCCTTTAGGGATCTTGGAAAAATTCCCTGGTGGGTATTGCTTCTGGGTAGACCATTGATATTTATGTCTGTGAAAGTTGGATGTTTTGTACTGTGTGAACACAGACTTCTTTTAAAACCAGACTGTCTGAGAAATATAATTGCTCTACACTTTGATGACTACAAGGATACATGGTATTGACTTTTCTTATTAATTCAGTACTTTTTTTTTTTTTTGATGAAAGGAAAGACATGGGAAGTGCTCTATCTTGGTCCAAGATCTTTCATATGATTACAATTCATCCTTAGTAAAACCCAAGAGTGACCACCAGGCTAGCAGAGGATGTGGATTATTTTGAATAGCTTCTGTTTTTACTATCTGAGTATGTGACTGTTGATATTGTAGGTGCAAAGGGTTAACCTAACCCTAAAAGGATTTCACATCCGCAGGAAGGCAGACAACACTTAACCTAATTCCTGAAATATTTAGTCAGCCAGTTCAGGCACTAAAACATATTTTTCTCCCGAGTCCCAGAGAGGACATCCAATATAGAACAGAAGCAGATCTATAGCTTCATGAGCAAAAAAAGTCTGCTGACTGGCTGAATCAGCCTTATCTGCTGTAACTAACAGGGAAGACAGAAGAATGATAAAACCCCAGGGGAAGGGCAGGAGGAGACAAAGATATTTACCTTCTGCTCTTTAAAAAGAAAGTTCTTTTCAGCAAAGAGTGTCAATAACTAGAGGTGATGCTTGAAGAGAAGTGCACTTGAAAGAAGTTTGCTTCAGTGGCCAGTCCAGCCCAAACCACACCACCTGTATTGCTGTGGAAGATGAAGTAGACTCTGAGGAGGGGTTAGGCAACTGAGATGGAGTCCTGCGCTCGTGTTTCAGATGCTGACATGAATCAGGTATCCACATGCTGCAAGACAAGGACATGATGGAGTGCTGGAAGCAGCACAGCTGCATCAGCTTGGTGCCACAGAGATATAAAAGCTTGTTGGTATGAGTTTAGGTGCTAA